AAATGTAGAATATATATTTGTATAAGCCTGTTCTGAATAAATATCAGTCGTTATATAACAATATATTCCACTTGCTACAAACCCTCCGGACACAGAATAATTCTAATTTTGTTCCAAGAGAAGAAGTTTTATTAAATCTTTAATTGATTTGGACTCAATATTATAGAATGAAATAAAATTTCCCAAGATATTAAAAATAGTTAAAACTACTTTATTCAGGGAATTGGCTTCAGAAAACGTTTTTACCTTACAATTTTACCTAGGCAGTGTTAAGCCTAGAAATGTACGTCATCTTATAACCTGACCGGCAAATAATTAAGATTACATCATATCATATTTATGTGTAAAAAATACTTTAAAATTGATAAATGGTAATTTATAAAGAGTTGAAAAATTAGTTCATTTAGCAAATATGTGTTTAATTTAAAATAAACATGGTAATTTTCGACGTTTTGTAGTCCAAACTTACGTTTGTCAAATCGATCAGATCAGAAGATATTTTCAATATCGGAGATTAAGAAGAAATTATTTATGAAGATCAGAAGAAAGAGAATATGATAGATTGGGTAGAAGGAATTATATGTAGATTAAAAAAGAAAGTATGGCAGAAGAACGGGAGGAGTGAAAGAATGATAGATCGGGAAAAACCAAAAGAGCTGAAGTCTGATAGGACGAGAGAAGGATGACAAAATGAAGTTTGGGATTATGTGCAAAAGATTCCATGCAAAAAGAAGAATTCACGTGTGGATGGGTTAAACATGGAAAACTAAGAGAAAACATAGTTTTGTAAAATGATGGAGTGACATATTAGTCTGAGATGATGTTGATGGATGAAATATTTTTACTTGTATCTGGAGTATACAGGAGTGTTTACTGTTAATATGGGTATACTCTGAACTGTGTAAAGTTAACAACTAGATCCAAACCCGAGGCTCATTCTTACCCTCTCCATACTCAATCCTCCACCCACTCCCCCCCCCATATCTACTCCAACCACTCTAAACACAACCCTCATATATTCTCCAACCACTCCCAACACAACCCTTATATCTACTCCAACCACTCTAAACACAACCCTCATATATACTCCAACCACTCCCAACGCAACCCTTATATATACTCCAACCACTCCCAAAAACTTATCTACTCTAAACACTCCCCACACTACCCCTATATCTACTCCAACCACTCCCCACACTACCCCCATATCTACTCCAAACCACTCCCCACACGCAGGGGCCTAACTAGGGGGGGTTATGGGATTAAGTAACCTTCTTTATCTACGACCACTACTCACACTACCCCCATATTTACTCCAACTACTTACAACACTACCCCCATATCTACTCCAACTACTTACAACACTACCCCCATATCTACTCCAACCACTCTTCACACTACCCCCATATCTACTCCAACCACTCCTTACACTACCCCCATATCTACTCCATCCACTCCTTACACTACCCCAATATCAACTACAAGCACTCCCAACACAACCCCCATATTTACAACATCCCCTCCCCCACACTACCCCCNTTATTATGTACTGACAACATAAATGAATGATTATATGGTTATACATAAAATTGCATGTTTCTTATTAAAAAAAATATTTTATAAAAATGCTATCTACAGTTTTATTTTTAGAAAAAAAATTCTTAAAAGTATAAAAAAAAAGTTTTCCAGTAATGCTAATATGATTTCATAAAATTCCGTTTTACCATTTAAATAAAAGGATTTTATGAAAATTATATCTACTTTACACTGATAATTTAATTTCTCAAAAATATAAAAAATGTTCTTCCGGAAAATACGTTGGATTTCTGTAAGGTTTGACTTTGTCAATGTAGTTAGTGAATATATCATAAGGTGTCCACTATAAATTGAGACTTTAGAAAAAAAGCTCTTAGTCGCTGATCATTGTTGATTTTTCATATTGGTAGATTTGCTATTTCATAAGTCTCAGTTTACGGTAGACAACGTTTAGTGTATAAATTAAGAGAGGTGAAAGCTGAAAGGTGGTAAAGGAAGCCTTTTATTTGATAGAGTTTGTTAATTCCAGAGATAATTGGAAAATTGAAATCAAGCCATAATTTGATATATTAAATAATTTGATATATAAAATAATTTGATATATATCGTGAATGGGATTGTACATGGTCTGGGGGGGATAAAACAAGTACACAAACGTTTCATAAAATTGCCTATAACACTATGATTTTGGCACGACGTGCTTTAAAGTTTTTGGACAGAAGGTTCTCGCCTTTTTAGATTATATTTTGTCCCTCGCTAAAGACAAGGACAAAACTAAAGAGAAAATTTCTGTCCAAAAACTTTATAACACTGTGAACTAAAACAACAGTGTTATAAATAATTATTATATTTTTTGAAAAACAAAACAAAGATATATTTTAAACATCAAAAAATACACATCAACACATATACAGATTAAAATATGTGATTCTTATCATCTACATTGAAAAGAACGGGCAATGTTAGCCTTTCTTCTGAAGTTTTAAAGTTTTAATATGACATCCAGTAATAAATTTGCCAGTTTAAAAATGTTCCCTACATTTGGAACTGAGTGTTTGCCACAAACTCAAATTTTTACATTTAATATTTGGTGATGGTGGTGAACCAAACCTCTGTAGAGTAAAACAAGAAGATGTTAGTGCCACATTTTGTTGAAGATATATTTCGGTCTGGGTTGACCCTCGTCAGTTCTAACAATGTGATAACCATCAAAATACCTGTTTTGGTTCTATTCTACTTAAATGCCGGTGGAAGACTGAGTTTTTTATTCAGCAGATTATATTATAGTGCAATTAAACGCTTACAACTTTTCCTTTCCAACAAGCTATTGATCACGGAAATTCTCCAATAAATAAAGAAATTACAATATAATTCGCATTCTTGATCAAGCACACCTTCAGGGTGGCCAAAACTTTTTTGAAAAAATTCGTACATTTTCAGAGGAAATCCGTACAATTTTCGAAAAAAAATCCGTACAATTTTCGAAAAAAAAATCCGTACAATCCGTACATTTTTATGAACAAATCCGTACATTTAAAAACAAATCCGTACAATTTTCGAAAAAATCCGTACAATTTTCAAAAAAAAAACCTGGAATGCGTACATTTAAGAAAAATAAAACCATTTTTAAAAATATTATTCAACACTGTCTCACCCCCCACCCATTCCCAACCACCT